ACCTCTGCTCAGTCCCGATTAGGAGCCTTGAGCCATAGGAGAGTTTGCAGCATCCTTGCTGGAATCATTGAACAATAACCTGAGATTCATGGACCACCAAAGGAGAGGAGAAACAGTGCCTTGTAGCCCAGTAAACATGGTATTGCCATTGCTAATAAGGCAACAAATTGTTTTAAGTTAACTATACAGACGTCACTTGTCAGATTTTGCCTGTCTGGAGCTTTATTTTGATCTGTTTAACTGGATTAGCCAGTAATTCCTACAATAAGATTTTTCATGGCCAGATAGCTAACCTGTGACCTAACCTGTCTTTATCATGCTTAGCTCAGTCTAACTATTTAATGTAATAAGACTCCCTTTAGAGTTGTAACAGTTTTTAATTCGAGTGTCCTAAGCTGCTAAGTGTTATAACTCAAGATCTGGATCCACGCAGGTTGGAGAATTGAAGTTAAAGCTTTGGAAAAATGCTCTAAAGTTATAATAACCTAATGATCTTTGTAGTTTTATTTGTTTACAGGATAATCTTCTAAGAAGCAATTTGAATAGAAGCAGCCAGACCTAGCAATAGAATTGTTGATTTCAGTAGCGTTCTTTTAAACAAGTGTTTAAGTATAGAAGGAATTTGGGAGAGGTATCAAACAAGAAAGGAAAGAGAAAGTTTCCCCTCTGTTTCAAGACTTTCTAAGTGCTATCAGTACTTAAAGGTTGAGAGAATGGTGGGTTAAGCATGTGTATATGTAGGTCTGAAAGAGGATAATGTATAATGAATAATGAAATATGGTTCAACCAGAATAGAAGCAATACTGAAGGGAGATACTTATCTATACCAAGTATTGGAGGATACTTATATCTAATAATCAGAACTTAAAAAAATGCTGGGTTTAGTGGTTAAGAGCAAAAAAGAAAGAGAATTGTAGAAGTTTATACATTCATGTAACAACTGATGATGTGAACAACTCTGTATTCCCCCCGCCCTGCTGTTTAGCTGTCTGTGTCCCAAGGCTCCAAAGCCCAGCTCTGATATGGCACACCTGCATAACCATGGGCCACGTTGCTGAGAAAATTGCTAAGTAATGAGAAAGCCTGCAAGAAGATAAGGACAAAAGCAGGGCGAGGCTAGCTAAGAACTTTGCATCAGATCAAGCCACTAATATCAACAGTGAAAGCTAGATGAAACTGGTTTGATCATAATCATGTGGTAACTTTTTCAGTAATGACCAGGAATAGCACTATTCATGTACCAGGGCTATGTTAGCTGACAATGATATTAGGATACCTAACAAGATGATGATGTAAAATGTACTTGTGTAATAGATTATATTTACAGTAGATCTTTCTCAATTCTTACTCATTCTAAAAGAGAACACATTGGCTAACTAAACAATTATATAAGGAGTGAGAAACATTCCGCCACTGCCAACATGTTATGGGGAGATATTAGGGAAAACATTTTAGGGGTTAAAGCTTAACAGAAAAATTAGTCTGTATCTCTTAAGACACCCTGTTGTATGGTTAATAATTAAAAAAAAACTATGCATTCAAGTGTTATCATAATCAAAAATACTATAGAATCAAAATGTTTATGCTTACAATGATTATGCAGCTAATGGAACATTCTGTGATGATGTAAACTATGAATAAAAGTTGACAATACCATAAGTTTAACTTGGGTATCGACAGGGAGAGTAGTGTTCTAAAGGACTTTAAAAAGCCACTGGCATATCAGTATGACCCTCTACTTCTGAGTACACAGCTGAGGTTGGCTTCCCTGCTGTTTTTCCAACTGCATAACTATGACTGTGTGTGAGGGAATAAGTGAATGTGCTGTATGAAGTTATCTGCTATTAATAGAATCAAGCATATTAATAACAGCTTTATAACAACCAATATTCATTAATAACAGGTTTTATCTGCATCTTCCCCCAACTCAATCCCCCACCAGGGTAAAGGGAATTTACAATGTTTTTCGGTTTTTTTTGTTCATTCTAAGCCTCACACCCACCAGCTTCACTTGACACCCTTCATCTCTTTCACTGAGGAAAACAGTTTAGTTTGCTCCCTTTTCCATGCCATTCACAACTGCACAGATCTTAATGGTACAGGTGAATAGTGGATTTATACAGAGGCACAGCAGTGCTCTTGTTTAGCTCTCTATTCTTTTTCTAATAATTTCTAGCATTTGGTTTGGGGTGGGTTTTTTTTTTTTTTTTCATCATTACTGAGCTGATATATTTGTCTAACCCCAAAGCCTGATTTCTTTTGATGGCAGTCAACTCAGAGCCCATCATTTTATATGTAAAGTTCAGATACGTGTTTTCCCCAGCATACATCTCTACAGAATCACGGAACGGTTGAGGTTGGAAGGGACCTCTGGAGATCATCTAGTCCAACCCCCCTGCTCAAGCAGGGTCATCTAGAGCACGTTGCCCAGGATCGCGTCCAGGCGGGTTTTGAATATCTCCAGGGAAGGAGACTCCACAACGTCTCTGGGCAACCTGTGCCAGTGCTCAGTCACCCTCACAGGAAAGAAGTTTTTCCCTCATGTTCAGATGGACTTTCCTGTGTTTCAGTTTGTGCCCGTTGCCTCTTGTCCTGTCCCTGGGCACCACGGAGAAGAGACTGGCCCCATCCTCTTGACACCCTCCCTCCAGATACTTGTACACATTGATGAGATCCCCCCTCAGTCTTCTCTTCTCCAGACTGAACAGGCCCAGCTCCCTCAGCCTTTCCTCATAGGAGAGATGCTCCAGTCCCTTCATCATCTTTGTAGCCCTCCGCTGGACTCTTCCCCAGTAGTGCCATGTCTCTCTTGTACTGGGGAGCCCAGAACTGGACACAGGACTCCAGGTGGGGCCTCCCCAGGGCTGAGTAGAGGGGCA